GACCAAGATTTAAGCTGTGTGAATCAACACCACTTTGGATTTCCTTCCCTGTGCCAGGCACTGTTCGAGGAACTAGAAAACCACAATGACAGTGCATTAAACCAGTGAATATTCATTACCAATAAAAAATAAGGCTCATTTGCCAGCCCAACTATGATCTCAGTGACCCAAATGGTGGTTTGTGTCTTTCCAATCCCTCCTATTATTTTGAAAATTTCCTTTGGGCTTCTTGCCTAGTGGTCACAAAATATGTGCTTCAGCTCCAGGTCTCCTGTCCCCACAATATGATCTCCAAAGCAGGGACAGGAGGGCAGTGGGAGAGATATTCTCTTACAAGTCTATCACACAGGGCTGCTGGGTGCCTCCATGAGTTAAGCATTAGGCCTCAGCTCAGGTCATGATCTCATAATTCATGAGTTTGAGCCCTGCATGGGGTGAATACAAGCCCCACTTCGGGTGAGCCCTGCTTCTTTCTCCCTCTCTCTCTCCCTCCCTCTCTGCCCCTCATGGGATTCTCTGTCTCCTTCTCTGTCCTTGCTTATTTGAACCCTCTAAATAAATAAATAAATAAATAAATAAATAAATAAATAAATAAAGTCTATCACACAGACAATTCCTGTCCTGAGGCTTCTCTGCAAACATCCCGTCAGATTGGTGTTGACAAGAACTTTCCATGATGTTGAAACTCTTCTGTAGTCTGTGCTGTCCAAAATGGCATTCACCAGCCACATACAGGTAGTGGGCACTTGGGTTGTGGCCAGCATGTTGAAGAAACTGAATTTTTAGTTTTATTTCATTGTAATTAATTTAAATGTAAATACTCAGATGTATCTAATGTCTACCATAGCAGACAGCCTAACTTTTGATTCTTTTTGGCTAGGATGAGGTTATGGTCTCCAAAAATTGCAAGGGAGGCTGGAAAAATGACCAGCTTTTTCAGCGTCTAAGGGAGAAAAGGTTTGGGAATGGCTCTTTGGCAGAAGCAAGTGTCTGTGATAAGAAGGAGATAAGACAGTGACATAGAGCTGGTGTTGTAGTGTGGGAGGCTAAAGACAGAAAAATGTAAACAAATAAATTTTAAAAGGTAGCTCTCTTCAGGTTTGAACAAGCCATGTTATCTGGACTCAGTCTAGATGATTGGTCCAGATTTCAGAGTAACTTAATAGGGAGTGATTAGAGGTGGGCGTAATTTAAGAAGGCGGTTGGAAAAAGGCTCTAGGAGCTAATAGTTTGGTAGCGAAGGAAGAAGACAAGCAGGTAAAATAAATTGTTAAGGATAAATAGGGTGGCATCTATGTATATACACACATATTTATTACATATTCACACATACATAGTTATACATCGTCCCTATGAGGAGGAGTAACAAAGTATTTTGGAGTGTTTCTCTGGTGTCTCCTACAAGCATTGCATAATATAGCAAGACAAGATTCACAGCCTAGAAGCTTTGGAATGTGGTCCATCTACCATCCTTAAAGCAACAGTCGGTGCAACATAGCTTTACTAATGGACTATGTGTACACGGATATGGTTAACGAGCGATTTCTGAAACAGTTTCTGTAGGATGTTCTAAAGTGGGAAATCACAAACACAGTGAAAACTTGGAAAGGATCTCTTAAGTCCTACAGCTTCAAATCCTATGATGTTCATGATGCCTGAGGGGGAATCAGCAGTAGATAGACCTGTCTGGCAAGAGGCTGTCAGGGCTGGGGTAGCTTAATTAAAGCACAGCTTTTGATTTGACGAGGGTAAGTGATGGTAAGTTTCAGACAGCATCATCCTCTGAGATTTTTGTATGTGTGGAAGGAACTACCCGCCGTTTCCTTATGAACCCCATACCGGTACAGAAATGATAACAGCCAAGGGTTGTGTGATTCAAAGGACCACGGTGTTGAGAGATATTCTTTCTAAAGCTCTTTCCAGCTTTAATACACTATCTTGTGATCTATAATGATTTTTATTTTTCAAAGACAGTATGAGTGATTCCTGTACAAGAATGGCTGAAAATTGTCCACATAATAAAACATTTAATTTCCTCTGTATTTCTCCTTGGATGCGTGGTTTAAGATTCTTTTTTTTTTTCCCCCAAGTTTATTTATTTACTGAGAGAGAAGGAGAGAGCGCTGGGGAGGGGCAGAGAGAGGGAGAGAGAGAATCCCAAGCAGGCTCTACACAGCCAGTGCAGAGCCCCACTCGGATCTCGAGCTCATAAACCGTGAGATTATGACCTGAGCCGAAATCTAGAGTTGGATGCTTAACTGACTGAGACACCCAGGCACCGCCCACTTGAGATTCTGTTTGTTAAATTCTATATTTTATATAACTTTTTCAACTGTAGTGAAGTAAAAAGAGGATATGTACCAAATTGATGTTAGTTCTTGTGGCAAATTTCAAAATAGACATGCACATTTATTTCAACTATTGGCTGACATAGAGTATTTGAAAATATGCACAGATTCTAAGTTCACATGACAATTTGAACTATGACAATTTTTAGCTATGACAACAGTAAAATGGCTATTAAAAACTTCCATTTTGCCACAGTAGGAAGTATTTACTTCTTTAATGTTTATTTATTTTCGAGAGAGAGAAAGAGTCCCAAGCAGGCTCTGTGCTCTCTGTGTCAATTCCACAAACCTTGAGATTATGACCTGAGCCAAAATTGAGACTCAGATGTTTAACCGATTGAGCCAGGTGCCCTAAGAAGTTTTTACTTTTATAAAGAAAATGGATGATGACGATAATAGTTTTGCTAGTGGATAATGCTTCTTGACATAAATTCAAGAGAAATGTAAACAATTTTGCTTACTTAACACAGAGACTTTTTTTTCTTTGCCTTCTAGCTGATTTACAGATTTAAAGCTACTTCATGGTGATGATGATCTGCCCCTTTTTGTATCCATCAGTGTGGATGACTGCATTGTTCAGTGGGGTAGCCGTTAGGCACTTGGACTATTTAAACTCAAGTTTAATTAAAATTAAATAAAATGAAAAACTATCTTACTTCACACAGGCCCCATACCAAGTGTTAAACAGCCACCCGTAGCTGTCATACTGGACAACGCAGACCTAGAATATTTCTATCCCATAATGCACTATTAGCAATGGATACTGTTGGGTTTATATGATTGAATCTCAAAAGATGTTGGTCAGAGGAAGTGCTGTTCAAATATCGATGCAAGAGTGTACATTACATGGAGATTATTACTATTGAGAAAGTTCTAGTCATAGATTCCTGGGAATTGGTCCCTTGGATAAACTCAGCAGGCGCCCTAGACCCAGACAAGAAAAGCCCTGGGCTCTGCATTTTAGAGGGCACCATCTTAGCTCACCTCCCCAAAGGGAAAAATTCTCCAAGGCCAAGGGATGTACCCCAAGAACCTGTTTCCCCTTCCTGCTTGTAGACCTTGTCCAAGGTACCCAGAATCCTGCAATTTACTGATCAAAAATTCCCAAGGCTACTTCCAGGTGCTGAGCAAGCTGAGGATTGTCCTTCCAAGGGAAGACCAAACAACTGATGTTGGTGGCCAAGGGGTGACTGTCGTGTGGACAGAGAGCTTGGCTGAACGGGCTCGGGTATCCATACATGTGCAGAAAGCCCACTTGTTTATGAATGGAGCTGGCACAAGCAGCAGAGGGTGTGGAAGTATGTAGGCCAAGGGCTGGGGTCTGGCTCTTTCCGCCCAGCCATGTTGCAGGGTGGAACTCTGAGAGCTCTGTACACACACCTGGCCTTGTGGGTTGTTATTAGGGTATATTTCTCAAGGTAAGAAAATAGAATACGTTTTATTTGTTAGCTTGACATATTTCCTGTAAATATTTAAACAGAGTATTTAAACATAGGCTATGTCAGCCCTGGTCTTGCAAATATTAGGGTGGGGCTGGCAGCCCTACATACAAGAGTGATACATTCAGCTGGGCCTTCTTGACTATTTGGTCATTATTGCTCTGAGTGGTTACACCTGAGGCATCTGTTAATGTCAGAGGAAATTTCTTTCAATAGGCTTTTGGTCAGGTGGGACCCCAGTGCATCCTTTCCAGGGTGCACAGCTGGAGTTGTTGAAGGCTAGACAAGGCTAGACACAGCTAGAAACAGCTTCTGAGAGTCCGCGGACCTGGAGGGGAATCTGTTCTTTGCTCTGGTGCTTTTGGGACAAATGAGGCTACGTGTGCCCACAGAAGGCGTGAAACCCCTCGTGGGGGTGGGTGGGGGTGAGGTGCGAACGGATCGCTGGCTGGAGGGCCCTTTCCCTTTCCTTCCTTTCTCGGAGGAAACACAGCCCTGCTCTTCTCCCTCACTCCCCGCCTCAGGCCAGGGCTCTTGGGGCGGAAGGGGCTGGGGCTGCCCCCTGTCCCCCCACCACCTCACCCCCCACCCCGGGGCGCACAGGGCGGCTTTGTCTGGAGGGCGGCCGAGGGAATCCGGCGAGAGAGCGGCTACCGCGACTGGAGTTTGGACGAGAACTTTCTTCCGCCCTCTCCACGAGTTGCCGGGCTCCCGCCGGGCGCTCACAGCTGCGGCCGGGAGGCCGGGCTTGCGCAGGGTCGGGGGTCGGGCCCGGGACCCCGGGACCCCGGACCGGGGCGGGCAGCGCGGGTCCCGGAGCGCGCTCTTACTACCCCGAGCCGCAGGCGCGAGAAGAGGAGGAGGAGAGAGAGAGGAGGAGGGGAAGGGGCGGCGGCGGGCGGGGAGGAGCCGCCGCGGGCAGTGGCCGGGGGAGGCGGCGGCGGCGAGGGAGGAGGAGGAGGAGGAGGCGGCGCTCCGGCCGGGCCGGAGAGCAGCGCTGGGGCCCGCGCGGCCGTGACCCCGCGGTTCCCCGGACGCCGAGCGCGGCCGCAGCGGACAAAGGAGCATGTTGGCGCCGAGGAGGGCCCGTCCTCCGGCCGCCATGAGGCTCCGGGCGCCTCCTGGCCCGCGCCGCGCCCCCGCCCGCCCGGGCGCCGGGCCGACCCGCTAGGCCAGCCCGCCGCCGCTCGGCCCGCAGGCCCCGGCCCGCCGCATGGAGCCGCCCGGGCGCCGGCGGGGCCGCGCGCCGCCGCCGCCGCTGCTGCTGCCGCTCGCGCTGCTCGCGCTGCTGGGAGGCGGCGGCTGCGCCGCGGCGCTGCCCCCCGGCTGCAAGCACGACGGGCGGCCCCGCGGGGCCGGCAGGGCGGCGGGCGCCGCCGAGGGCAAGGTGGTGTGCAGCAGCCTGGAGCTCGCGCAGGTCCTGCCCCCCGACACGCTGCCCAACCGCACGGTCACCCTGTGAGTAGCCCTCGCGCCGGGTCCCCTCCCTGGGGCGCCTTCTCGTCGCGCCGCCTCTCTCTGAGCGACTTTGGAGAGGGGTCCTGCCGGCACCCACGCGCCTTTGTGTGAATGAAGCTTCAGGCAAGGGATGGCGCCCGGGGGCGTTGGCTTGGCAGGGGCGCGTTTCGGGGAAGGCCACTGAATCTGCACCCCCGAAGCCGCTTTCCAGTTCCGCTAGTTTGCAAAGTAAAAGTTTTTGGGTTCCGGGGCGCGCCCCGCGCGGTCCCGGCGCAGCGCTGCGGTGGCTGCGCGGTGCCACGTGAAGATGCAAGTAAACATGCAGTCGGCGAAGTTGCGGCTGGCTCTTCTGTGCCTGGGTTTCCAGAAAACAAGGTGCTCCGTAGGAGCGCCGGTCCTTCAGCTTCTTTGCACATTACCTTCCATGCAGTTTGCATGAATAGTTTGCAGAATACCGAACAGTACCGGCACTTGGGACGCCTGTGTGGGTAATCTCCTGACCCCCAGACTGATTTCCTTGCCTTTCTCTTCCTTAGTTGTATCACACGGTAAAAGAGCACGTTTGGAAGTGGAGTTGTTCTTCAGGGCGTGAAATACGTTTGAGACGAGCCATGCACCTTCCAGCCCGGGTTTCATGTGCTTGCGCGCTCATACTTAAAACCCCGAGAATTTTGGAAGTGAAAACTGGGTTTGTTGAGCCTTCCCTCTCGAGGGACTTGATATTGAAGTTGTTTCCCACCTGGAAGGAAAAGTTTTTGGTCTCAGGGCTCCATTTGTATTCAGATTCACGGTCCAGTTTTGCAGGGGTGGTTCTGCCCATGTTAGCTGGGCAGTTGGAATCGTGATTTTTCTGAACGATGAATTGGTGTGGAAAAGTTCAAGTATTTCTAATGGATTTTTTTTTTTTTTTTTTTTTTGGTCGAACTGAAATGTGAGCCCCTCTGTCCCGTGTTCCTCTCCGTTCTTTTGGTTTGTTAGCCAGCTAAAAAAGAATCACGGCCACCACTATAAAGACATGAAGGCAAGGGGAACAGCATGACTTATGAAAAGCTTAAAGTATGGTTTTCAATTTAACCCAAATTAAGCAGGATGTTAGGGGTAAGAGAAGTATTAACCTCCCTGCCAACCCCTTTGTTCTTCCATTTCCATTTGTTTGAATTAAGAAAGGCTTAACACAGGAAAACTGTGTTTCTGTCTATGGAGGCATGAAAATGGATAAAATAGTTTTTGTTTGACTCTTTTACTGACCATTTGGTAGTGGCAGCAGCTGTATTTATTTATTTCCTACCCAGATTCTTTGAAGTGGAAATTTTGGGTATGGGACCTTTAATTACAGTCTGAGTCAAGCAGCGAAAACCCCCTGTGTTGGAGATAGCCCTTTATAACTTGGCAGAAATTAGTCATCACAAATTTGGGTTCTGAATCGGTGGTGCTCCAACTGATCCAAGTTGAGGTCGAGTTTTTCAGAATGTCAACAGTTTCAGCTGTATTAAGTCAGCTATTTGTAAGTTTGTTTTCCTTTGAAAAAAAAATGGTATCCTAGAAAATCACTTTTCAGCATATTATCAAACTATTTCAGAGAATTCTTAGTGCCTTTAAATGTCATATTTAAAAAAAATGTTTAGGTTTGAGAGAGAGAGAGAGAGAGAGCCTGAGCCCGCGCATGAGTCCTAGTGGGGGAGGGGCAGAGAGCGAGGAGGACAGAGGATCCAAAGCCATCTCCAAGCTGACAGCAAAGAGCCCCATATGGGGTGGAACTCACAAGCTGTGAGATCACGACCTGAGCTGAAGTGGGAATGCTTAACTGAGTGAGCCACTCAGATGCCCTTAAAATGTCGTATTAATCCAATATCTTTTGCACCTGAAGCCTCTTTAGATGAAAATAAAATTAATAGAAGAAATTATAATTCACTTAAGAATCTGCTGATGTTCTGGATTGTGTTGGTTCAAGGTATATCTGACCTGGTAGAAGGTCTTCTAGGCCAGGTCCCTTATTTTACTAGGGAATAAATCAGAGTCCTGCAGGGACAAGTGACTTTCCCAATTTCCAGAGTGATTGAGAGGGTCCACGTTCCAGATTTCTGCGGTGCAGTTCAGATGCTTTCATCAGGCTTCCATCTTAGTTCAACAGTGTTTTGTTTTTTGTTTCATTTGTTTTTGTTTTTTGAGTGTTTCCTAAGTAGTGGCAGCATGTTGAGGTTTAGACTAGGTGTTAATTTCCTCGGGGTGTGGCAAATTACCACACATTGGGTGGCATAAAACCAACAAATTTCTTGTGTCACAATTCTGGGAGCTGGAAGCTGGAGATCAAGGAGTCACTAGAGCCATGTCTTCTCTAGAAGTCTTGAGGCTTCTGACATTCCTTGGATTGTGTGGCACATCAGTGCCAGTCTCTGCCCCTGTCTTCATGTCGCTTCTTTCCAGTGTGTCTCTGTGTTTCAAATACTGCCCCTTCTCTTTTTTTTTTTTTTAACTTTTTATTTATTTTCAGGAGAGAGAGAGCGTGAGCAGGGGAGGGTCAGAGAGAGAGGGAGATACAGACTCCGAAATAGGCTCCAGGCTCTGAGCCGGCAGTCAGCACAGAGCCTGACGCAGGGCTCGAACCCACAAACCGCGAGATCATGACCCAAGCGAAAGTCGGACGCTCAACCGACTAAGCCACCCAGGCGCCCCGCCCCTTCTCTTATAAGGACACCAGTCATTGAATTTGAGGTCCACCCTAAGTCCAGGATGATGTCATCCAAGGATATATAACTTAATTACATTGCAAAGACCCTATTTTCACTAAGGTCACTTTCAGAGGTACCAGAGGTTAGAACTTTGGACCTCTTTTAGGGGCATACTATTCAACTCACTACAGAATATAAATAAAGCATGATCTTTCTTTAGGAACACACAGGTAGTGGGAGAGAAATATTCATGAATTCAGAACAGTATGGTAAATGCTGTAATCCTGGAGTGTACATGTAGCAAAAGGAACCTAAAGGAGGGCAACCAAAAACCCGTGGGACATAGTTGGTAGGATCCAAGATCTAAGGATCCTGAGCCAGTTAGAGAACTATGAGATGGACCACTGTGATGAGGGGGAGGGAAAGAGGGGATGGGTGGTGCTAGACTCCCCAACCTCCCACCCCATGCCCATGAGGCTTGGAGGGCGCAGTGTTGCTTGCTATGCGGTGCAGTTGATGCTGCTAGATGTCCAGGGCAAGTGGTCAGAGAGGAGCCTGTGGGATCAAGTCAAAGATAGGCTGGCTCTCTGGTTTGAGTTTTAATCCCTTAGATGTGGCCAACCATTTTCCGCCGAGCTGTGATGTAGCTGCTGCAGGGAAATTGGATGGGGCTTGGAAGGAGAGCAAGAATAGGATAGAATTTTTTTTTTCTTTTTGAAAATAATGAAAAATAAGGTAATTTCTGCCTTGGGGAATGAACTGGACTTCACCATCGCCAAGAACTTGGACCCTTCAGCTGTCTTCGCGAACAACGCCTGCTTTCGTATAGTCATGGAGAGGTCCAGCAGACACCCTCCCCGGGGCCACACTTGTTTCCTGTATCAAGTAGCCTTTTTATTAAAGGATTAAATTCTCTTTATTATTTACAGCCAAATTGAATACAAATTTAACTTTCATTGTTATTTTTTTTGGAAATACATATTTTAAAAAATATTTTATTAAAAATTTTTTTAAATGTTTTATTTATTTCTGGGAGAGAGAGAGGCAACATGAGCAGGGAAGGGTCAGAGAGAGAGGGAGACACAGAATCTGAAGCAGGCTCCAGGCTCTGAGCTGTCAGCACAGAGCCCGATGCAGAGCTCGAACCCACGAACTGTGAGATCATGACCTGAGCTGAAGTTGGATGCCTAACCGACTGAGCCACCCAGGTCCCCCCCAAAAATGTTTATTTTTGAGAGCACGCAAGCAGGGGAGGGACAGAGAGAGGAGGACAGAAGATCCGCAGCAGGCTCTGTACTGACGGGCTGACAGCAGCAAGCCCTACGTGGGGCTGTAGCTCACTAACCCTGACCTGAGCTAAAGCTGGATGCTCAACCGACCGAGCCACCCAGGTGCCCCCAATATATAAATTATTAACTTTATTCCTGTTTCATTTGATATTTTAAGCCTTAATTCTCAGGACTTCAGTGATAGAAAGTTTTACAAGTTTAGCCCTGCTTTTCAGATTTTTCCCCCCCATAACACTACATGGAGACTCTAGGTAATCTTTTTTTTTTTTAATGATTTGTCAAGTAACTTAGGGACAAAGTCTAGGTTTTTCTCAGACTTTTTATTTTATTTTATTTTTTAAATGTTTTATTTCTGAGAGAGAGACAGAGACAGCATGAGTAGGGAAGCGTCAGAGAGAGAGGGAGACACAGAATCTGAAACAGGCTCCAGGCTCTGAGCTGTCAGCACAGAGCCTGACGTGGGGCTTGAACCCACCAACCGTGAGATCATGACCTGAGCTGAAGTAGAACGCTTAACCGACTGAGCCACCTTGGCGCCCCTCAGACTTTTAAAACCATAAAATACGTGAGTTTTGGGTTTTACTTTACAAAATGTTATGTTTGTTTTTGCTATCAAAGACCTGATTACACACATCAGTCAGTGTGCCCAGCTCCATGTCAGGGAGACAAAAAGGAATGCTTGCATTGTTTTGAAACATAACCCTAGTTGGAAGAAAGGATTTGCACAAAAGCAGCAGGTAGGGAACGAACAATTGTAGAATGTCTGTAATTAAGTAATAAATCCCGTACTGCCAACTGTCTAAATGCTTTAGAAAGTCTGAAAAGACTGGAGATTACTTGGGGCTCTGGAGGCGCTGGGAGATTTTCCCTTTTCCTGGAGAAGTTTGGACTTGAGCAAGGCCTGAGGGAAGGGAAAGACTGGATTTTGTGCAGGCATCCAGGAGTTACGGACAGGGTGGGACGGAGTTCTACTGAAGCGAGAGGTGGTTTTCAGAACCACTGGTCCGTACCAGGTATGTAATACCCAGGTGTGATGGAGGTC